TTATGGCTAGCAAGTTGTGTACAGACTCGGAGAGGCCGGAGAAAGTAACGTCCGAAAATACAGAAGCAATTGCCTTTTAACAACACAGTTGGGCATTTCTGCTCCATCTGCATGGCTTTACTGACAGCAGATGCGCAAAATAATATTTCATCTTAATGGCCATAAAGACATGTGAAAACACGTAATCTGGTTATCTGTTTTAAGCGTTTAATGGTCAAAACACTGATATCATATGTTTTATAGCTAAAACAAAGGCTACCTATGTAATTTAAAAAGGTATGGCCTTCTTTGTGGGTGCGAATTGACACTGAATTTTGGACGCCCGAATATCGAAAACAATTTGGTCAGTGTAATGCGGATATTGGTGTAGTTTTAATAGGGGAGAACATCATCGGCTCGCTAATTTTCTGACAGTACAGAGGGTCCATCTCAGGGAGTTAACGTGATTCAATACGATGTAATCGATCAGAATCTGCAAGGACGTTTAGCATAGCCATTTCAGTGTCATATATATAGACTTTCAGCTTATTTTAATGTTCCTTTGATTAAACAGTGTCAAATTGCATACGTATGTGCATACCATAAAAAGAAACGCCCGTGTCCGAACCAGCTTGAATACCAATATCTTGCAAGCTCGGGCGATAAATCTCCTCCAAAAGTTTTATTAACACCTCGAGCAGGGGTATTTCGGAATTGAACAAAAGTCTTCTCTAGATTTCAAAAAATTTGGGGGAAAAATAATGACATTTTACCTGGAGTTGTGTTAAACGTGGAGAATCGCAAAGCTTGAGAAATTCTAAAATTTCATCTCGCGAATAAACCTTAAGACGAAAGTTATCAAACTTTATTTACTTGTGTTGTCTGTGGTCCCATTTCGGGGATAAAAACGCTCAGGGTGTATATATATCCGCGGCTGCTTAAATAATCGACAATAATGCCTTCGTAAACGCGTTTCTGTAGACCGTCCCCCTCTGTTGGTGGAAGTGTGGAGCGAACATTTTTAGCACAAAATTCGCTTATAAGTTTATGACGCAGGTTCGTCTAAGGCAAAAGTGAATTAAAAACTGGTTTACTTTGAGTTCTTGAATCACACCTTTTTCCCTTAGCGTTTGATAAAGTCTGCGACGCAGGCGAGATGAAGAAATTGATTCAGGCAACTCCATTAATAAGCTGATGTAAATGCAACACGAACTTTGTTGAAAGACAGCTGTAGCACGAGGAAATAAATCTAAGGTTGAGCACAGGAAAATTTAATTTGCCCTGTGTTTTCATAATTGCTACTGCCAACTCAAGGTCAGAGCGTTTGAATTGGACTGGTCATTCTGTGTGCAAAATATCCTTTGGATAGCATCTCAGTATGACTTCTTTTGGGTTATACGGCTTAAACTCCAAAAGCCAGATCGAAGATAAGAATACACATCCAGTTAACGATAGAAGCGTCTTTATTTAGTACGGCTAAAGTGGGCAAATATTTTTTGATCACCAACGCACTCTCAAGTTGAAATCAGTTATGGTTCAAAGTTCCTACTTTCAAGAGAATGAGAGATAAGCTCCATATTTTCGGAATTTTATTCATGCTTCTACGTTATTACTCATGCCTTTTTAATAAAGCTATCAGTTCCTCGACGTAATTCATGAATTTCCATCACTGTCGATACTCTATACTCTGAGCTGTTTTATTATTGCTTTCCTGCTAAACCTATAAATTAACCAGCTATACCTCCTGGTCAATAATATCTCAAATGTAATACAGTGGAACCTCCGTTCCCTGCCAGCACCAGCCTCTGATTACCCCACGTTTATTTATAACACGGACCAAAGACGGATGGAACGACAAAATCGGTTAAGATTCCGTAGTAAGATGTTTCGCTGAATACACACCACACATTTCTGTCTTCTAGAAATAATGGAGGAAGTTAAATTGCTCTTTTATCAAATAAAGACAAAGGCTTCGTTCTACAAGACATTGACGAGACAGTATTTTGTGGTGCGTATTCTGCGAATCATCTTACTACGGAATCTTAATCGGTGTTGATGATCCATCCGTTTTTAGTCCGTGTAATAAATACACGTGGGTCAATCCGGGGCTGGCGCTGGCAGAGAACGGAGGCTCCATTGTAATGCGTTTGAGACGAATTCGTAACCACGTTTAGAGTAGGACCAACGACTGCAAACGATTATGCAGGCTTTATGACACTTAGTGCTCGTGGGTGCCCCTGTTGACCTCGTGCAAGACTAATCCTAAAGACCTCAACACCTAAAAAATTTCAAGCCTATTAAATCCTGTGACGGATTAATAAGAACGTATAATGACTCATTCTGAAACATGTTTTTAATTTGCTTGGTGTTTCAAGGTTAATTTATCACAAAGTTCACGTTAGTTCTGTTACATATAGATATCAAGTCGGTGTTTACTTGTTTCCAGAGATTGGGATATAAACATCTCCTCATGTAAGTTATTTCATGGGTCCACGATCTGGTTAGAGATAAAATACTTCCTCACATCTAATCCATACAAACTGAAGAAACATCATGCCAAACGAGAAGTGCGGGTCAAGTTCCTCTCCAACTGGGTGATTGAAGACTGGAACCAAGTTCCTTACTCACTTGTTCTTGCTGAAAGTGTGGAAGCATTTAGAAGAAAACTCGACCATACTTTACTTGATGGTCATACATTTCGTAGACCATAGCGATGTATATAATGTACATATATGGCTTTAAAACATACATGATTTGCCAGAATGGAGCTGTAAATAGGGCGTTCAAAGGCTTTGGCTATCTTTATATATACTCAGTTATAATATTCCTTACGGCACATGAAGTTCGAAAGGATGTCCCCGGAGCTTAATTGCAGTGGCAAATTGGAAAAAGTCATCGCACATGAAGGCGCAGTCCAAGCAATGCACGATGCGGAAGGTTTATATCAAATCTCCGCGTACCTTC